TATGTAGTATGTAGAAAAATTCTTAACATATGTCAGTAGTCTGTTTATAGCGTGGTCTGCGTGTCACGTGGTCTGTACGTCACGTGGTCAGCTATTAACATGCTAAATATAGAATCAGTTCCTGCACGATACCATGTGGTCTGATACTTGCTAACACGATACTGTGTTGTCTGATACTTGCTAACACGATACCGTGTTGTCTAATACTTGCTAACACGATACCGTGTTGTCTGATACTTGCTAACACGATACCATGTGGTCTGATACTTGCTAACACGATACTGTGTTGTCTGATACTTGCTAACACGATACTGTGTTGTCTGATACTTGCTAACACGATACCATGCAGTCTGATACTTGCTAACACGATACCATGCAGTCTGATACTTGCTAACACGATACCATTAGGTCTGATACTTGCTTACACAATACCGTGCGGTCTAATACCTGCTAACACGATACCGTGTTATCTGATGCTGACATGACACGGGTATCGATGCCGCCCACTTGTGAATTCTCAAAGAACGTTCTAGAGGTAGAGAGTACTCACCCGCTGTCCTTCATGACGTCACACAGCTTGAGTAGCCACAGCCATAGGACGTCATGAAACTAGCTGCAGCCAAAGCTTTAGGCATTTATTATGTATCAAAACTCCGAGCTTCATGTCTGAAAATAAAAAAAGTTTTTGACCAGGGTATTAATTAAAAGTAACCCAAATCTGATGTCAAAGTAATCCAAACCTCATGTCAAAGTAATCCAAATCTCATGCAAAAGTAAGACAAAATTCATGTCAATGTCAAACAGAAAAATACATGTTTGTGTTTGTGGTAAACACCCTGGGGTATCCATTACTATGACGTCACAAATTCCCCAGATTACTTCCCCTTTCAACACGGTCATCAATTTCCCGACACTCCGGCCTGAACGTGTGGGGTCGGTACATGGTGCGGGGGGAAGGGGGTGTGTGTAGGGGGGGGGGGGATAAGGTGGACGTGTGTAAGCGGTCTCAAAATGGTGTCGGTACATGGTGCGGGGGGGGGGGGTGTAGGGGGGGATAAGGTGGTGTGTGTAGGGGGGGGGGGGGGATAAGGTGGTGTGTAGGGGGGGGGGGATGGGGTGTGTGTAGGGGGGGGGATAAGGTGGACGTGTGTGTGTGTAGGAGGGGATAAGGTGGACGTGTGTAGGGGGGGATAAGGTGGACGTGTGTAGGGGGGGATAAGGTGGACGTGTGTAGGGGGGGGATAAGGTGGACGTGTGTAGGGGGGGATAAGGTGGACGTGTGTAAGCGGTCTCAAAATGGTGTCGGTACATGGTGCAGGGGGGAGGGGGTGTGTGTAGGGGGGGATAAGGTGGTGTGTGTGGGGGGGGGGAAGGGGGAGTACAGCGCGGTAAAATAATTAGCAGCCTTGCAGGTGAAAATATCAGTCGTTTGTTTGCTTAGGTTTGTACGAAATATGCTGGTTGGGTTGTTGGGTTTAGACAGACTGGTTGGGTTTAGACAGACTGGTTGGGTTTAGACAGACTGGTTGGGTTTAGACAGACTGGTTGGGTTTAGACAGACTGGTTGGGTTTAGACAGACTGGTTGGGTTTAGACAGACTGGTTGGGTTTAGACACATGGAATGGTGTTGTCTTAAACAGAGAATTGTTGATTAAGGACAATGAATGGTTATTTATGGACAGTGGCTGGTTAGGTAAGGACAGTGAATGGTTAGGTAAGGACAGTGAATGGTTAGGTAAGGACAGTGGCTGGTTAGGTAAGGACAGTGGCTGGTTAGGTAAGGACAGTAAATGGTTAGGTAAGGACAGTGAATGGTTAGGTAAGGACAGTGAATGGTTAGGTAAGGACAGTGAATGGTTAGGTAAGGACAGTGAATGGTTAGGTAAGGACAGTGAATGGTTAGGTAAGGACAGTGGCTGGTTAGGTAAGGACAGTAAATGGTTAGGTAAGGACAGTGAATGGTTAGGTAAGGACAGTGAATGGTTAGGTAAGGACAGTGGCTGGTTAGGTAAGGACAGTGGCTGGTTAGGTAAGGACAGTAAATGGTTAGGTAAGGACAGTGAATGGTTAGGTAAGGACAATGGCTGGTTAGGTAAGGACAGTGGCTGGTTAGGTAAGGACAGTGGCTGGTTAGGTAAGGACAGTGAATGGTTAGGTAAGGACAGTGAATGGTTAGGTAAGGACAGTGGATGGTTAGGTAAGGACAGTGGCTGGTTAGGTAAGGACAGTGAATGGTTAGGTAAGGACAGTGGATGGTTAGGTAAGGACAGTGAATGGTTAGGTAAGGACAGTGAATGGTTAGGTAAGGACAGTGGATGGTTAGGTAAGGACAGTGGCTGGTTAGGTAAGGACAGTGAATGTTAGGTAAGGACAGTGAATGGTTAGGTAAGCAGAGTGAATGGTTAGGTAAGGACAGTAAATGGTTAGGTAAGAACAGTAAAATGTTAGGTAAGGACAGTGAATGGTTAGGTAAGGACAGTGAATGGTTAGGTAAGCAGAGTGAATGGTTAGGTAAGGACAGTGAATGGTTAGGTAAGGACAGTGAATGGTTAGGTAAGCAGAGTGAATGGTTAGGTAAGCAGAGTGAATGGTTAGGTAAGGACAGTGGCTGGTTAGGTAAGGACAGTGGCTGGTTAGGTAAGGACAGCGAATGGTTAGGTAAGGACAGTGAATGGTTAGGTAAGGACAGTGAATGGTTAGGTAAGGACAGTGAATGGTTAGGTAAGCAGAGTGAATGGTTAGGTAAGGACAGTGGCTGGTTAGGTAAGGACAGTGAATGGTTAGGTAAGGACAGTAAATGGTTAGGTAAGGACAGTGAATGGTTAGGTAAGGACAGTGAATGGTTAGGTAAGGACAGTGAATGGTTAGGTAAGGACAGTGAATGGTTAGGTAAGGACAGTGAATGTTTAGGTAAGGACAGTGAATGGTTAGGTAAGGACAGTGAATGGTTAGGTAAGCAGAGTGAATGGTTAGGTAAGGACAGTGAATGGTTAGGTAAGGACAGTGAATGGTTAGGTAAGCAGAGTGAATGGTTAGGTAAGCAGAGTGAATGGTTAGGTAAGCAGAGTGAATGGTTAGGTAAGGACAGTGGCTGGTTACGTAAGGACAGTGGCTGGTTAGGTAAGGACAGCGAATGGTTAGGTAAGGACAGTGGCTGGTTAGGTAAGGACATTAAATGGTTAGGTAAGGACAGTGGCTGGTTAGGTAAGGACAGTGAATGGTTAGGTAAGGACAGTGAATGGTTAGGTAAGAACAGTGAATGGTTAGGTAAGGACAGTGAATGGTTAGGTAAGGACAGTGGCTAGTGTAACGTGTCTGATAAGACCAGTTCAAACTTTGGCCGTTACAAGACGGTTCGAGTCTCACATTCCTGGGATTTGCCAGGGATTTGTCAGGATTAGGATTAGCCGGGATTAGACAAGGGGCAGGCTTGTAAGAACGTTTCTGCAGATGACAGACATGACGAGACTCTTGGCGCTGTCTATTTCAATGTGTGGCGGTCAGCTATAAAGGGCTAGTCAACCAGTGGTCAGTAGAAGGGCTAGTCAACCAGTGGTCAGTAGAAGGGCTAGTCAACCAGTGGTCAGTAGAAGGGCTAGTCAACCAGTGGTCAGTAGAAGGGCTAGTCAACCAGTGGTCAGTAGAAGGGCTAGTCAACCAGTGGTCAGTAGAAGGGCTAGTCAACCAGTGGTCAGTAGAAGGGCTAGTCAACCAGTGGTCAGTAGAAGGGCTAGTCAACCAGTGGTCAGTAGAAGGGCTAGTCAACCAGTGGTCAGTAGAAGGGCTAGTCAACCAGTGGTCAGTAGAAGGGCTAGTCAACCAGTGGTCAGTAGAAGGGCTAGTCAACCAGTGGTCAGTGATGTGGGGCCAATGTGTGGGTGATGTGGGGCCAATGTGTGGGTGATGTGGGGCCAATGTGTGGGTGATGTGGGGCCAATGTGTGGGTGATGTGGGGCCAATGTGCGGGTGATGTGGGGCCAATGTGTGGGTAATGTGGGGCCAATGTGTGGGTGATGTGGGGCCAATGTGTGGGTGATGTGGGGCCAATGTGTGGGTGATGTGGGGCCAATGTGTGGGTGATGTGGGGCCAATGTGTGGGTGATGTGGGGCCAATGTATGGGTGATGTGGGGCCAATGTGTGGGTGATGTGGGGCCAATGTGTGGGTGATGTGGGGCCAATGTGTGGGTGATGTGGGGCCAATGTGTGGGTGATGTGGGGCCAATGTGTGGGTGATGTGGGGCCAATGTGTGGGTAATGTGGGGCCAATGTGTGGGTGATGTGGGGCCGCGCTTTTATTTATAGTGATATAAATAGTAGTGCATTAATATTTTTAAAGAAAGTATTTTTTTTTTTATATTTAAAGTAACCGCAGATTTATTATATTTTTTTTAAAAAAATTTATATTTAATAAAAATTGTATTATTTTCTTCTTTTTTGTGCATTAATAAAAGCTTGTAATTATAAACGTTTTTATGTATTTATTATTTCGACGTGATTCTCTTCTATTTTAAAAAGTTTAAATATGTAATAAATGGATTATAAATCATGTCTATATCCCCAGTTGCCACCCACGTAATGTTATATAAGAATATTCGAGAAAATTTTGGGGAGATCACTCCCGCTTTATTGCGGGATATGGACTTGCCGCGGCTGTCCGCAAAAAAAAAAGTGTGACCTTTTGTTATGTTGAATTGTGTCCCTTTGAAGAAAGTATATCAACGTTAGCTGACCGGAGTTGTGTTCCCTTGTGACAGTAACCTTGTGACAGTAACCTTGTGACAGTAACCTTGTGACATTATGACTACAGTAACCTTGTGACAGTATGACTACAGTAACCTTGTGACAGTATGACTACAGTAACCTTGTGACAGTAACCTAGTGACAGTATGACTACAGTAACCTTGTGACAGTAACCTTGTGACAGTATGACTACAGTAACCTTGTGACAGTAACCTAGTGATAGTATGACTGCAGTAACCTTGTGACAGTAACCTTGTGACAGTATGACTACAGTAACCTTGTGACAGTATGACTACAGTAACCTTGTGACAGTATGACTACAGTAACCTTGTGACAGTATGACTACAGTAACCTTGTGACAGTATGACTACAGTAACCTTGTGACAGTATGACTACAGTAACCTTGTGACAGTATGACTACAGTAACCTTGTGACAGTATGACTACAGTAACCTTGTGACAGTATGACTACAGTAACCTTGTGACAGTATGACTACAGTAACCTTGTGACAGTATGACTACAGTAACCTTGTGACAGTATGACTACAGTAACCTTGTGACAGTATGACTACAGTAACCTTGTGACAGTATGACTACAGTAACCTTGTGACAGTATGACTACAGTAACCTTGTGACAGTATGACTACAGTAACCTTGTGACAGTATGACTACAGTAACCTTGTGACAGTATGACTGCAGTAACCTTGTGACAGTATGACTACAGTAACCCTAACCCTAACCCTAACCCTAACCCTAACCCTGAGAGACAACCCTCTAGAACTTTCTCCACCCCCCCCCCACTACGTGTGCTAACATCAGTGACCTTGGCATTTCGTCCTGACCTTGACATGTTGGTCCTGTGTAAACCTATCACTAGTCGACTCGATGATTAATGACGTCATATCCGCGCGTGCAATATTTGAATAGACCAGTCAGGGTTCTATAGAGGCAGGGGCGTCGATACGGGGTTCATGGTTCTATAGAGGCAGGGGCGTCGATACGGGGAGGTCAGGGTTCTATAGAGGCAGGGGCGTCGATACGGGGTTCAGGGTTCTATAGAGGCAGGGGCGTCGATACGGGGTTCATGGTTCTATAGAGGCAGGGGCGTCGATACGGGGAGGTCAGGGTTCTATAGAGGCAGGGGCGTCGATACGGGGTTCAGGGTTCTATAGAGGCAGGGGCGTCGATACGGGGAGGTCTGGGTTCTATAGAGGCAGGGGCGTCGATACGGGGGGTCAGGGTTCTATAGAGGCAGGGGCGTCGATACGGGGAGGTCAGGGTTCTATAGAGGCAGGGGCGTCGATACGGGGTTCAGGGTTCTATAGAGGCAGGGGCGTCGATACGGGGAGGTCAGGGTTCTATAGAGGCAGGGGCGTCGATACGGGGAGGTCAGGGTTCTATAGAGGCAGGGGCGTCGATACGGGGTTCAGGGTTCTATAGAGGCAGGGGCGTCGATACGGGGTTCAGGGTTCTATAGAGGCAGGGGCGTCGATACGGGGGTTCAGGGTTCTATAGAGGCAGGGGCGTCGATACGGGGAGGTCAGGGTTCTATAGAGGCAGGGGCGTCGATACGGGGGTCAGGGTTCTATAGAGGCAGGGACGACGCTAGGAAATATATTCCCACGGGTCACCAGATTTAACATCACACATGTCACCAACATTTGAGTGTTTAGTGTGTATGTTGGGTGGCTGTTGGACACTGTTGTTTGTTGTTGTGTGAGGTTGTGTGAAGTGTTTTGGGTGTGTTTTGTAGGTTTTATGTGTGTTGTGCAGTGTTCCCTCTAAGCTTCGCGGTCGCGCAGCCGCGCAGTCGTTTTGAACCAGCCGCGCAGTCCTTTTGTAAATACATATCCCTGTATAAGACTTTTAGAACACCGCGCACAAAAAATACAATTAGCACACTAGCCTTTTTCTTCTTGTGGGTTGTATGATGTGATGTTGTGTGATGTGCTGTGATGTTGTGTGTTTTAAGATGTGTTGTGTTATGCTGTGTGTGGTGTTATGTGTTGAATTATATTGTGGTGTATGAATTGTTGTGATGTGTGATGTTGTGATGTGTTGTGTCTTGTGTTATGTTGTGTGATGTTGTGATGTGTTGTGTCTTGTGTTATGTTGTGTGATGTGTGATGTGTTGTGTCTTGTGTTATGTTGTGATGTGTTGTGTCTTGTGTTATGTTGTGTGATGTTGTGCTGTGTTGTGTCTTGTGTTATGTTGTGTGATGTTGTGTCTTGTGTTATGTTGTGTGATGTTGTGATGTGTTGTGTCTTGTGTTATGTTGTGTGATGTTGTGATGTGTTGTGTCTTGTGTTATGTTGTGTGATGTTGTGCTGTGTTGTGTCTTGTGTTATGTTGTGTGATGTTGTGTCTTGTGTTATGTTGTGTGATGTTGTGATGTGTTGTGTCTTGTGTTATGTTGTGTGATGTTGTGCTGTGTTGTGTCTTGTGTTATGTTGTGTGATGTGTCTTGTGTTATGTTGTGTGATGTTGTGATGTGTTGTGTCTTGTGTTATGTTGTGTGATGTTGTGCTGTGTTGTGTCTTGTGTTATGTTGTGTGATGTTGTGATGTGTTGTGTCTTGTGTTATGTTGTGTGATGTTGTGATGTGTTGTGTCTTGTGTTATGTTGTGTGATGTTGTGTCTTGTGTTATGTTGTGTGATGTTGTGTCTTGTGTTATGTTGTGTGATGTTGTGATGTGTTGTGTCTTGTGTTATGTTGTGTGATGTTGTGCTGTGTTGTGTCTTGTGTTATGTTGTGTGATGTTGTGCTGTGTTGTGTCTTGTGTTATGTTGTGTGATGTTGTGATGTGTTGTGTCTTGTGTGATGTTGTGATGTGTTGTGTCTTGTGTTATGTTGTGTGATGTTGTGATGTGTTGTGTGTGTTATGTTGTGTGATGTTGTGATGTGTTGTGTCTTGTGTTATGTTGTGTGATGTTGTGATGTGTTGTGTCTTGTGTTATGTTGTGTGATGTTGTGATGTGTTGTGTCTTGTGTTATGTTGTGTGATGTTGTGCTGTGTTGTGTCTTGTGTTATGTTGTGTGATGTTGTGTCTTGTGTTATGTTGTGTGATGTTGTGATGTGTTGTGTCTTGTGTTATGTTGTGTGATGTTGTGCTGTGTTGTGTCTTGTGTTATGTTGTGTGATGTTGTGCTGTGTTGTGTCTTGTGTTATGTTGTGTGATGTTGTGATGTGTTGTGTCTTGTGTGATGTTGTGATGTGTTGTGTCTTGTGTTATGTTGTGTGATGTTGTAATGTGTTGTGTATGTTATGTTGTGTGATGTTGTGATGTGTTGTGTCTTGTGTTATGTTGTGTGATGTTGTGATGTGTTGTGTCTTGTGTTATGTTGTGTGATGTTGTGATGTGTTGTGTCTTGTGTTATGTTGTGTGATGTTGTGTCTTGTGTTATGTTGTGTGATGTTGTGTCTTGTGTTATGTTGTGTGATGTGTGATGTGTTTGTGTCTTGTGTTATCTTGTGTGATGTTGTGTATTGAGTGACTACACAAACAGAGAGACACGGCAACCTGTATAAAGGTCAGAGATATTGTATAAGGCTACATGTCTCTATTGCCGAGTTACACATTGAAATATTTTCTTGCATAATGGAAGGGCACCTCTAGTCCAAAGTTACGTACAGTTTAGCTCCCCCCCCCCCACCTCTAGTCCAAAGTTACGTACAGTTTAGCTCCCCCCCCCCCCCCACCTCTAGTCCAAAGTTACGTACAGTTTAGCTCCCCCCCCACCTCTAGTCCAAACTTACGTACAGTTTAGCTCCCCCCCCCCACCTCTAGTCCAAAGTTACGCACAGTTTAGCTCCCCCCCCCACCTCTAGTCCAAAGTTACGCACAGTTTAGCTCCCCCCCCCCACCTCTAGTCCAAAGTTACGCACAGTTTAGCTCCCCCCCCCACCTCTAGTCCAAAGTTACGCACAGTTTAGCTCCCCCCCCACCTCTAGTCCAAACTTACGTACAGTTTAGCTCCCCCCCCCCCACCTCTAGTCCAAATTTACGTACAGTTTAGCTCCCCCCCCCACCTCTAGTCCAAAGTTACGCACAGTTTAGCTCCCCCCCCCCACCTCTAGTCCAAAGTTACGCACAGTTTAGCTCCCCCCCCCCCACCTCTAGTCCAAAGTTACGCACAGTTTAGCTCCCCCCCCACCTCTAGTCCAAACTTACGTACAGTTTAGCTCCCCCCCCCCACCTCTAGTCCAAATTTACGTACAGTTTAGCTCCCCCCTCCCCCACTTCTAACCTAACAATTTTTCATTGAAAAATTATTATTTGAGTCTCATCAATATTGGCCTGATTTGCGCCGACACTGACCCAAAACAACTTACATCCTGCTAGAAATAGACAACTTACATCCAGCTAGAAATAGACAACTTACATCCAGCTAGAAACAGACAACTTACATCCAGCTAGAAATGAACAACTTACATCCAGCTAGAAATAGACAACTTACATCCTGCCAGAAATAGACAACTTACACAGCTAGAAATAGACAACTTACATCCTGCAATAAATGGACAATGTAATATTGTAACAAGCTTCACATTCGACATGTTATATTATTATTACATAACACTAGATCTAGACTTCCTTGTTTACATGTTCAAGCAAAAAAATGTTAACAAAAGTGAAACCAGAAGTTTACAAAACTCTCACAGGACCTACACAAAGACCTACACAAAGACCTACACAAAGACCATCATAAAGACCTACACAAAGACCTACACAAAGACCTACACAAAGACCTACAACAGCGACACCCCCAGAACTCACCTACCTTTGTATAGCCGCTCCGCCAAACAATTAAACAATCAGCAATTAATTAGCCTTTGTCTCGGCCGCCGTTAATTAATCCCGGGCGTGTTCAAGGTACTTAAGCGCCCCGCTGAGACGGCAGTTGTCTTTCCTTGATGGTTTTTTTTTTTGTGCCAATGTTTACCTCCATAAACTGAAACCGCTAACGCCAAATTCGGAATTGAACCAATCCAACTGTCAACTGACAATTAGCTGCAGCTGAAAACATCACATAATAATCCAAGATGTGTGCCACGATATGAGCTACATACAAGGTTATGTTATGACGTCAGTGCATCTGCTCACCCCACAGGTGGTAGTCACGTGCATGAAAGAAACCCTACACAAGGACGTCAGATGTGTTGTTGTTTGGTGCGCTGTTCCCGTGTGTAGCCTAGAGGTCATGTTCACGTCTGATGAATGAGGTCAATTTCCCGCGCGAATGTCGGCGGTGGTGGAGCAGACGAGGAACAGACGTTCAACAAGTGACGGGCTGACGGCGGATTTCCCGTACAGAACTCCAGACAGTTACACAAGCTGCTACTGCTGTCGTCTAGCGACAATTGGGTAGTTCACTATGTACAAGATAGCGCTGTGGCCTGATTGCGCACCGTATAACTGGGCTCAAAACAATGCGCATGTGATTTGTTTTCATCGATCAATCAATGTCGTTAGCAGAGAATAATCGCATGTAGAATGTGGCATGTAGAATGTGGCATTTGGAATGTGGCATGTAGAATGTGGCATGTAGAATGTGGCATGTAGAATGTGGCATGAAAAATGTGGCATGTAGAATGTGGCATGAAAAATGTGGTATTGTAGAGCCTACAACATGTTTTCACAAAATATGACCATGGCACATACACATCCAATGGATCTAGGGATTTAGAAGATGGATATGGATACATCATGCGTTAGGGAATGGCACCAAGCTTTGCTAGACAACACGTATCACGGAATCCACAAACATCAAGAAAATATACGGGGACCCTAAACCTTGTGACGTAGCAAAAAAAAACATGTTGTAGGAATGAGTTAGATAAAATTAGAAAAACAAAGTAGCAAAGGACAGAAAAGCACGCGATGCTGTTGGAAATGGCCTATGCTGCACTGGGGGTTGTGGCGGGCAAAGAAGAAGTGTGTAGGGCCTACATGTAATTAGAATCACAAGAACAAAATCTACTCGTGTTTCAATTAGTTTTCTACACACAGACAGACACACATACAGACACAGACATGCAGACTCACACAGACATACAGACACCCACACACAGACCCACACACAGACCCACACACAGTGTTTCTTCCAGACTTTTTTCTCCGAGGAGCACTTGAAATTTTGGGTGGGGGGGTAGACTTTCTTCGAGGGGGGGGGGCGGACACTGTTAAAAGTATATATTTTATATATAAAATATATAAATTTCATTTCGTTCGGGGGGGGGGGGGGGGAATTTTCGGGGGGAGCGGCTTTGTCTAGTCTAGTCTAGTTTTTTCTCGTAAAAAGGCTTCTCGCGTATAGCAGTAATGAAGTCTCACATTAACAGATTGGAGTCTGGGTCATGTAAGTTTTGTGACCGTATCTTACAGGTAAATGTGACACACACAAGCACACACACACACACACACACACACATACAAGCACACACACACACACACACACACACATACAACATCACAAATCTATTTAAAGGCCGCTGAATGAAAGACCCGTGTCACGTGATTTAAGCTGAAAATTAAAGGCCGTCAAAATTAAAATAGGCCTACTGGCCTCGTGTGCTTTAAACTGGATCAACACGTGTAAGATCTTTGAAAGTGTAATGGATCACAAAATGTTTTAGAAAGTGTAATGGATCACAAAATGTTAAAGATCTTTGAAAGTGTAATAGATCACAAAATGTTAAAGATCTTTGAAAGTTTAATGGATCACAAAATGTTAAAGATCTTTGAAAGTGTAATGGATCACAAAATGTTAAAGATCGTAGAAAGTGTAATGGATCACAAAACGTTAAAGATCTTTGAAAGTGTAATGGATCACAAAATGTTTTAGAAAGTGTAATGGATCACAAAATGTTAAATATCTTAGAAAGTGTAATTGATCACAAAATGTTAAAGATCTTAGAAAGTGTAATGGATCACAAAATGTTAAAGATCGTAGAAAGTGTAATGGATCACAAAATGTTAAAGATCTTAGAAAGTGTAATGGATCAAATAAATTTAAAGATCTTAGAAAGTGTAATGATCACAAAATGTTAAAGATCTTAGAAAGTGTAATGGATCAAATAAATTTAAAGCACTTAGAAAGTGTAATGATCACAAAATGTTAAAGATCTTAGAAAGTGTAATGGATCACAAAACGTTAAAGATCTTAGAAAGTGTAATGGATCACAAAACGTTAAAGAGCCTTTTCTTGGGTACTGTGCCAGAACTAGCCTCTGTTAAACTTTCACCGTGTGAAAATCTTTACCATGTTGATATTTTTCTAGTGACTACTTACAACTGTTACCGTAGAAAGCACCAAGAGGTCTTATATTACGTACAAACACACGCACACACACGCACGCACACACACATGCACACACATGCACACACACGTCATAGAACCAAGTTCTATTTTTACATTTCAGGTAAACACACAGGTAGGTTAATTAAGGTGGGTGGTGTGGGGGTTGGTGGGGATGGGGCGGGGGGATAGTAGCCGCGGTTGTTGTGAAATGGTGTAGTGTGTGTTATGGGGCAGTTCGTGAAATATGTGGGGGGGGGGGGGTAGGGTGGGGGTGGAGGTGTGGGGTCGGGAATATGAAGTGAAAACTTGTAAACAAACATGTGTGTGAGAGATCGATCTGTCGGGAGATTTGAGTACCTTATTGAGGCGAAAAAAAAAATGATTGATTACAGTTGGATAGATCGAATGTGGTGATCGGGGTGTCGGTACAGAATGTGGTGATCGGGTGGTGATCGGGTGGTGATCGGGTGGTGATCGGGTGGTGATCGAATGTGGTGATCGGGGTGTCGGTATAGAATGTGTGGGGTCAGGAGGTCGCTGTGTTCATAGGTTCGACGGTATCAGGTGTCGTGACGGGTGGGTCACGTGACGGGTGGGTCACGTGACGGGTGGGTCACGTGACGGGTGGGTCACGTGACGGGTGGGTCAGGTGACGGGTGGGTCAGGTGACGGGTGGGTCACGTGACGGGTGGGTCAGGTGACGGGTGGGTCACGTGACGGGTGGGTCACGTGACGGGTGGGTCACGTGACGGGTGGGTCACGTGACGGGTGGGTCAGGTGACGGGTGGGTCACGTGACGGGTGGGTCACGTGACGGGTGGGTCAGGTGACGGGTGGGTCACGTGATGAGTGGGTCAGGTGACGGGTGGGTCACGTGATGAGTGGGTCACGTGATGAGTGGGTCACGTGATGAGTGGGTCAGGTGATGGGTGGGTCACGTGATGAGTGGGTCAGGTGACGGGTGGGTCACGTGACGGGTGGGTCAGGTGACGGGTGGGTCAGGTGATGGGTGGGTCACGTGATGAGTGGGTCAGGTGACGGGTGGGTCACGTGATGGGTGGGTCACGTGATTAGTGGGTCACGTGATGGGTGGGTCACGTGACGGGTGGGTCAGGTGACGGGTGGGTCACGTGACGGGTGGGTCACGTGATGAGTGGGTCAGGTGACGGGTGGGTCACGTGACGGGTGGGTCACGTGACGGGTGGGTCAGGTGACGGGTGGGTCACGTGATGAGTGGGTCAGGTGACGGGTGGGTCACGTGATGAGTGGGTCACGTGATGAGTGGGTCACGTGATGAGTGGGTCAGGTGACGAGTGGGTCAGGTGACGGGTGGGTCACGTGACGGGTGGGTCAGCAGACGGGTGGGTCAGGTGACTCGGTGCCAGATGGAATACAAACATTTCCACTCGGTCAGTTCTGACAGGACTGAACCAATCAACGTGTTGTTCTATATGGCACGTGGTGACAGTAGATGGCAGTATGTGACAGTAGGTGACAGTGGGTGACAGTCAGTTCTGTCAGCCAGGCTTACGATGTGACACTTGTTACCCTGTCAGAATATTCTAGAAGTTCCCGACCCAAGACACCAGTTAAGGTGTTGATTCACACACCTGGTGAGTTGAGGTCTCTCAAACTGCGTCATTGTCATTTTTATCGTCATCGTTATCATTATCGACATGTACATTGACAGTGTCCGTGTCACTGACAGCGACAATGACAGTGTCAGCGTCAGTCACAAAACCGCCCGTGTGACGGCATCAGTCCAACCAGGTATGTCACCGGTGTGTGGAGCCTAGCGCAGGTATTTTAATGGGGCCGTGTACCTGGACAGACTGCCGTGGTTTGATTGGTTCTTCTTTGTGTCTAATCTCCGGACTGTACGGGGGGGGGGGTGGGTACATTGTCGCCAGGTCTTACCATACGTCACATAGAAATCTAGAAGTTTCTGTCCCGAGGTTTGAGAGGACTGGCGTGTCACACCCCCCCCCCCCCCTTGTGTCTTGTGACAGGGTGATTGTAGGAAAGAAAGTCACAGGAAAAAAGTCACAGGTAAAAAGTCACAGGAAAAAAGTCACAGGAAAAAAGTCACAGGAAAAAAGTCACAGGAAAAAAGTCACAGGAAAAAAGTCACAGGTAAAAAGTCACAGGAAAAAAGTCACAGGAAAAAAGTCACAGGAAAAAAGTCACAGGAAAAAAGTCACAGGAAAAAAAACAGGAAAAAAGTCACAGGAAAAAAAAACAGGAAAAAATGTTACAAACGTATATTTGCATGGGATTTGTTACTACTTTTATCTATTAAATATTCAGAAAGTGCAAATCAAATTAAGATTAATTAAATTAATGTAATGTGCGTAGGTCGTATAGGTATAGTAATATTTAAAACAAACTTTAAAAATATATAATATGAAGTATGTATGTTTTTATTCCGTTAAACATATAATATATACTATAATTTAATATAAGGTTCCAAACTTCTCGGTTTTCATCGTGTTTTTTTTAAAATACTAACTTTAAATTTTAAATAAATGGCATAAAGACGTAGTTACTGTGACTTGCTATCCTCAATTCATCGCAAGAATAGTTCAACTACTTTTACTGCCCACAGTTATCACGCTCATTGCGTCACATAGCATGGGATCCAACACAAAGCCGACCAGGTACAAAAGCTGTCATTGACGCAAAACGTCAACAACACACAATATGGTCGAACAAGGCTGGCTAAGGAGAAGCCAACACAGGAAAGGCCTAAGACAAAAAACATGCAAAACACAATGATGTGCCTAAATTTCTTTTAAAATTAATTTTTCTTTTGCGTATTTAACTAAACACGTTAAAAAAGTTGAGGCTGCCGTGTAAATTTCCTTAAAGTATTTTTACTTACTATTGTTATAAACCATAATGCTTTTAAGTTTATAAATAGGCTATCGAAATTAAAAACACAACCCACATCTAAAAAC